GAAAAAAAAAAAAAAAAAAAAAAAAAAAAAAAAAAAAAAAAAAAAGGTAAATTATGTATGGATTCTTGAAAAAAATGTTTTCCAAAATGTATAAATTACACCATTTTTTATTTAAATGCATACTCCATAATAAAAAGTTTTAAGTGATAATGTAGAAAATTAAGACCTGACTTAAGTATTTTATTAAAATCAATGCTTTTAATTGTGTACAATTCCTACCATCAGTGAAGCTTTGTGATAGGAACAACCCTTCAGGAAAAAAGCATAAGCTGTGTGTTACAGGTGACAGGAAGGATGATTGTTGCTGCCTGAGTCCTACTGTTATTAAGCTACATACTGTTGAAACTGTTACTTACTTTTAAAAGGAGGAAATAGAAGGTATGAAAAGCAGTAACAGCTCAAAAAGAGAGTTTGCCAGAAATCTGTAAATTCTTAAAGAACTCAACTTTGCCTATGCATCTTTATTCAAGATATCTAAAGTTAAAAAAAAAAAATGAAAATCTTTACATTCTTAGTCATTCAAAAAGTTTAAAGACATTTAAAAATGAAATGTCCATGCAGCTGCATGTAATTGTAATTTCATTCTAATAGCAGTACACTTTTTAATTGTATGAATGAACCTAAATTAATCTCCTACTCCAAAAAAATTGAAATGCCAGTGGGAAAACCTAAATGACAACACAGAAGTTCTCAAAAATGTTCTGAACAAAACCGACATCTCAATGAAACTGGTTCTGTTAAAGGTGTATTTTGAAAAACATAATACAAAGCAATCCATTAATTCTATAAGGTATACAAGCAGAAATTTTATTTTAAATTCTCGACACTGAAAGATGTATTGTTTTAGTACTTTGGATAGCTAAGTTGACCTACAAAACTAAGATGGTTGTTTTTTCACTTATTTTTATCCATAAGTACTGTTTAATTTTATGTAAAATACTTTTCATTTTACCATTGTTTATATTGATTATATTTATGTGTGCATCATGTGTAAAACAGATCTAAATATAGCACAATTATGACCATGATGCAGAAACATACTATCGTTATAGCAAATAGCAGTGACATTATAACATTATACTGACCCCCAGAACGTTTTCATGCTGGAGAGTGTTTTTATGTTTTTATTATGGTAAATTTATCTTATATGACTTAGGTCGGCTATACCAACTGATAATACTGATGAGGAAGAGAAGAAAGGTACCTTTCTCCACAAACGATGCTTTGCTGTTATATACATCACTATATTTTAGTTAAAGTAGGAGAGACATATGAAGACACAGAAATTCCAGGTACAGAAGTAGAAATTATTTGCTAAGACTTACAAAGCAGGTCAAGGGTAGAAATGGGTTCATCTTTTCTTTTAGATTCTTGACCCTCAATGTCATAAAAGGCCAGGTTATTCTTAAACAGAGTATCTTTTCAGAGCTTTAAAACACATTAAGAATAGTCGCAAACTGAAAAAGACAAAGTGCTTCCTACCATACATGGCATGCGTCTGTTCATGAGCCCCGTACTGAGTTGCTGAAGAGGATACTAAACCAGGCTGGGCATGAGTTGGTGGTGCCATCATTCTAGCATTACCCTGTATCACAGGACTATACACATGAGGATGCTGTGTTCAAACAAAAAATAAAGAAAAAACATTAAAATACCAAATAGAGCCAAGCAGGCTTTAGTTAGATTTTTAATTCTATGTTTCCAGAAACAACTAAAAATTTTAAAACCTATCTTGGCTGCATCTTTGGAAATTCTTACACTGATCAGTAACCTTTGAATACACATACTAAAAAAAGGCCCCTTCCCAAGTCCTTAGCTATCTACCTCACCATAACACAAAGCAAAAAAAAAATAAAGGAAAATCCCTTTACCATATTAAAAGTTATAAGTTTTAAAAATGGAACAAGAATTAAGAGTTAGGCTATATCAGCCTTACCTGAGACTGATAATGTGGCACATGTTGAACAAGTGGCTGATTTGGAAACTGCTGAGGACTATAGGCAACATATTGTGCGGAGTAAGCTGGTGGGGTGGCTACAATCGGAGGGCCTGCTGCTGAGGCTGGATGCATCATGGTGCTCTGATGATGCTGGTCTTGCCGCTGTTGGGGCATATTTGGTACTGCAGAAAAAAAAGATGGCTTATTATCAGAAAACAGTATCTCCTCAGCATAATGTATATGTTAACATCATACATACATTAACATGGCCTATAAGTCTCTGTCATCTCATACCACTTCTACCACCACTTCAGCCACTCTGGGCCTTTTTCCTATCACATATGCTATTCTTCAGCCTCAACACCAGCCCCCAACTCCTAGCTGGGGTAATTTTGATTCATCCTTAAGTGTCAGCTTGAAAGCAACTTCCTCAAAGAGACCCCCTACGATAACCCTCAAACTTGATCAAGTTCCTGTAATAGACTCTCACAGCACTATGAAACGACTTTTCTTCACACCACTTCTCGGATAATCCCTGTTTGTTCACTTTTTATCTCTACCACAAGACATACAGAGGGCAGCTACACCTATACCTGTTGACATACCAAATTATGCCATTTGCTAGAACAGGGCACTGGGTTCATTTACAGAAAAACAAAAGCATGACAAAGCAGTTAAAATAGATTCAACGCTAATCTTATGTCCATCTGCCTTAACTTCCTACTACTGGATCCTTATACAACTTCTCCCTCTTTCTCAAACTCAGCACCACATAGCATATAGCAGGTTTCTAAATAATAGCTCCTTTTAAAAATTACTTTATGTCTTATATTATTCCACATAGATTTCTGTAAGGTCCTCTCCCTGTTAAAGCTCTAGTTAAGAACTCAGCCCAACTGTCATCTCTCTGGTGAGATCTTTCCCAATCCTCCCAGCAAGAGCTAGCTACACCCTCTGTACCTTTTCTTCTCATGTCTATAACAGTATCTACTGTTGTTTGTGATCTGTTTCTGGTGTGCCATTACCCAAGCCACATGAGAGGAGGATTGTGTGGCCACTACTTACAACAAGGTAGGAAGCACAAAGAACATATAACTTACTGTGTTCATAAAATAGTCCGAACTGATTATATAAGTAACTGCAAATTTCCTGATAGAATTTGGTATTTCTTTTAAATATTTTTTAAAATTTGGCCAATCACTTAATGACTGTTGCTGAAATTCAGGAGAGCTGATTATCTACCATTTTATCTATTTAGAAGAGCAAAACTGAAAACAGAGTAAAGCAATATAGTAAAATATTTTTCTGATTTTAATCTTGAGAGCCCACATATTAAGAAAATACCTCCTTCTGGTAGAGAGAAAAAGCTACCCCAAACTCAAAAAGCACTTTTATCAAATGAAATCATGTCTAATTAAGCTCACTAACTGAGCTTAACTTACTCATTATCACTACTTTTGTTACTTGATTATTACCTTTACATATGTGGGGGAAAAAATTAAAAACAAAGAGTCTATCTTCTTTAAAATTAAAAAATTCGAATTACTTGGTTATGGTGGTTTTTTTTTTTTTCTAAACTGAATCTACCTTAATCTTAAACTACAGTTTAGACAGACCACACTTTAGCTATTTCCTATGTCAAGTCTTCTCAACTGGGAGTAACACTGCCTTTCAGGAGACATTTGGCAATGTTGAGTCATTTTTGGTTGTCACAATTAAGGGAAGGGAGATGTTACTACTAGGATCTAATAGGAGGATCCTGGAGACAAAGGATGCTGTTAAATATCCTACAGTTCACATCATCCCCCCCCGCCATATAAAAGAATATCAGTTCCAAATATAAACAGTGCCAATGCTAAGAAATTCTGCTTTGTGGGGCCGGCCCAGTGGTGCACTGCTACAGTGCGCCGCTTGGGAGCGCGGCAGCGCTCCCGCGGAGGGTTCGGATCCCACATACAGACTGGTTCCCGCTCACTGGCTGAGCGAGGTCCGGGTGCAGCACTGAGGGTTGCGATCCCGTTGCCGGTCCCAGTCCGGTACGGGCGCGACACTGAGGGTTGCGATCTGTTGCCGGACATGAAAAAAGACAAAAAAAAAAAGGAAAGAAATTCTGCTTTATGTTAATTGTCCTTGAAAATATTTTCAAACACAGCTCAACCTTTCTCACAGGCTGCAGAAAAGGTAACTCTGCAGTAGCAAGAGGAAAAAGAGATGGTTTTGTGCAAAGGCCCTACTACAATGCAGGAAAGATAAGCCTTATATAATCCATGGCTCCATTTCAGAACGAAGCCCCTGACTCTGCCTATTGAAAAACATTAAAAATATCTTTATCCAACACCTCAAAATGAGTAGAATTTAGTAAAGGAGCAGGATATAAAATAAGCATAACAGCAGTAATAGCCTTCATATACGGTACTTCATAAGTACTTATTTCATTAAGTAATTATGTAGACGATGCAATGGAAGAAAAGACCCTTGTTTACATTAACAATAAAAAAGAACATACCTGAGGCATAAACTGAGGAAGCACATAAAACCTTAAGAAGAAGAAACTTTAAAATGCTACTGAAGATATAATTTGTTCTTGGATAGGAGACTCAAAATCATGAAGATATCAATTCTCCTCTAAATTAATTTATAAATCCAAAGTGATTGTAATAGAAATATCAACTGGCAAATCAAACGTTAAAATCCATGAGTTGATATTGATACCAAAAAACAAAAAACAACAAAAAATACCTCACTGGTCACCTCTTGAGAATAATAGGAAACCAACTCGTTATTTTGAAGGCTGCCTTAAAAAGGGAAATGATAAGCATTTTAGTTGCTTTTCCTGCACAAGTTGTACCTCAAGGAAACCAAACGGTTTGATGAGGTAAAGTTTTTCTTTACAGAAATAGTCCAGCAAATAACTGAAGAAGGGGTAAAAGAAAGAGAATGTCACCATTTTGTAACCCCTAATAAAATAATGGATCTAGGGCTAGACAATGATCATAAACGGCTGCTAAAACAAACAAGAAAGAGATTATGGGAAGTGTTACCCTGGATATATCAAACATCACTGGTTATTCCTACTATCACAAAAAAAAGAAAGATGACAAGACATTATACGACTCCTAATTAGTACACACATCACCCATAAAACACTCCAGACTTTTTTAAAAAATCCAACCCAATTTTATCAAGGATCCATTATCTATTATCAGTTTACAAGGATTACAGGGTATAGATGTATAGATGGCCACTTTAAACAGCACCACAGCAATCACCAAAATTCAGATGGTGAGAAACAATATAGGACAAACAAGCTGGATTCAAATAAGATGTGAAGGGGAAAAAACTAAAGGAAAAACTATTATTAAAACTATGATTTAAGGGCCGGCCCAGCCTGTGGCTCACTTGGGAGTGTGTGGTGCTGATAACACCAAGGCCACAGGTTCAGATCCCTATGTAGGGATGGCTAGTTAGCACACTTGGAAAGCGTGGTGCTGACAACCAACACCAAGTCAAGGGTTAAGATCCCCTTACTGGTCATCTTTAAAAAAAACAAACAAAAAAACCCCCAAAAACTATGATTAAAAAAAACCAACAGTATATAACTCTTAAAGATATACATTGAAGTACTGATGGATAAAATGATATGTCTAGGATTTTCTTCAAAATAATCCAGTGGACAAAGGGCGTTAAGAGACAGAGGGTTTGAATAAACATGACTGCCCATGAGTTGCTAATGTTTTAAGTTTTCATAACAAAAAGTTAATACAACAAAAAACAATTAAAAAAGAAATGACTTCAACATGACAAACAAATCTAACTTGTAAACCTCATTTGGACCCTAATTGGAATAAAATAATTGTAAAAAATGTATTTTAAAGAAAAAGAAATTTGAAGCTATTAGGGAACTATTGTTCTTTTTAGATGTGATAATGGTATTGAAGGTTTGTTTTCTTTTTTTTTTAAAGACTCCTTATCTTTTAGAATTACAAAGTGAAATATTTACAGATGAAATGATATATCTGGGATATGCTTCAAAATAAAATCCGAGGAGGGGAACTATACAAGTAACAAAATCAGTCATGACTTTGTAATTGTTAAAGCTGGGTGACTAGTACTTTCCTATGACTGTACTATTCTAACTGCTTATTTGTATGTTTGAGATTTTCAGTAATAAAGCTTTTGAAAGCCAACTGATTTTTTAAACAGTCAAGCTAATTATAAAGTTCATATGAAAAAATAAACATGGAAAAAAAGTCAAGAAAACCTGGGGGGGGAATCACTGTTGGGAGTGGGTGGATGGCAAGGTGGTCCCATATTAGACAGATTAATGGAATGGAAAAATCCAGAAATAAAGTCAACTGCACTTAGACACTTTATATATGATAAAATGGCATTTCACATCAATTTATTCTCTGACCATAATAGAATTAAATTAAAACTAAAAAGGGCCGGCCCGGTGGCGCACTGCTATAGTGCACCGCTTGGGAAGCGCGGCGGCGCTCCCGCCGAGGGTTCGGATCCCACAT